TTCTTTATTCTCATATTTTATAACATGGCTGTCGAGAGAATAAAGCTTGTTAAAAGAACGGAAGTTTTTCTCCAGCCTGTATACTTTATGAAAATAATTTACACTCACATTGTTACTAGGATTCTTAGTGTAGTGGTCAGCGTTCTTGATTTGCGTTGCGTAGTCTGAGGGTTCGATCCCCAGCAGTGTTAGGTTTTTCCGCAATAGAAATTAATTTAAGTAGACATAGGGTGGTAGGCAATATAAAGCGAAAAGAATAAAAGAGGATAACAAAAGTGATAAAATTAAGTGAATAATAAAAAATATAAGTGTGAGCCAAAAAATAATTTGGTTGAGAAAAGAAAAAAATTTTTTTCATTTAACTAAATTTTTTGTTTGCTTAAAAACAATAAGTTAGTTGTGCAAAACAAAAAATTTGGTAGACCGAACAAAATGATTCAACGAAAAAATTTAGTAGCCCGAACCAAACGGATTAGTTGCACATATATCAAATAAAAAATTTGGTTTGGAGAACCAAACTTCAGTAGATGATACCAAACAGTTTTCTCAGTGCAAATTTTGGTTATGTTGACACAAAAGTTTAAATTGTCCCAATTAGACTTTATGTGGCACAACCAGAATTTGATGAAAGCAACAAAATTCCATTATTTTTTCTATTTGTTTGTCTTAACCAAATTTTGGTTGTGACAAAAATCTAATTAGAATGACCAAAATTTTGTTGACGCAAGAAAAAATTGGTTGCATGTATTAACACAACGAAAATTTGGTGAACACAACAAAATTCCTTTATTTTTTCTATTTGTTTGTCTCAACTAAATTTTGGGTTCCGACAAAAGTAAAGTTTTATAGAGATAATCAAAATTTTGTTGACGCAAGAAAAAATTGGTTACATGTATTAACACAACCAAAATTTAGTAAACACAAACAAATAGAAAAAAATAAAGGAATTTTGTAGTCTTAACCAACTTTTAATTGTCCCAAATAAAATCTGATAGGCGCATAATCAAAATTTTTTTGTTGCAACAAAAACTTTTAGTTTGGAAAACAAAATATTTTCATGTCAATTAAAATTTTTGTTCTCATCGCAATATAAACTAAATATTAAGTTAGTTGATTATTATTTATAACAATTGTTGATGAATTTATCTTCATTAATAGGCGATTATTAATAGAATTTATCAGAAAATTTTCAACTTTCCAAATTGCTGTTGTGCATAATATTGTTATCATAGAGTATCTATGTGTTTGTAAATATATATATATGAGATAGCATGTTCGGTGTCAAGAGAACTCTGCTCTGAGGGTAACTTGACCTCATACATTGAAAATACAATTATAGAATTCTGAACAGAAATTGTTGTGCATTGCATTAATTATACCACACGGTGAAATAGCATCATTATACATATATATGTAAAATTCAAAACATTTTAATTAAAAATTATTAATGCGATATGTAAACTCTAATATATTTTATATACACATATACATATAATTCAGTTTCCTCTCACACTATAATGAGCTTTTAATGCCATTTTCAAAATAATTTTATTATAATAACAATGTTGAATTGAAAAATTAAAAAAATTATTCTTATTTATATTACAAAATTTATTTAAAAATTGATATTACATTCAATGACATGAAATCATATCTATTTTTATCATATATATTTTCTGGAAAAAAAACAACAACAAATCTGATTGTGCAGGGGGGGGGATGCTGTTAAAATTATTAAACATTAACCTGAATTCACGTGTGCACTTGCGCGCAATCTTTTAAAGTGCACTTTCATTCATTTCGATAAGAGGGATCGTGTCAGAGGTGTATCCCAACAAAAATCGAACTATTAATCATTGGCCAAATCATGTCACGTGTTATTGTTCTTACCTTCCTAGACAGGTAGTTTAGAAACATTTTTTAATTTACCACATGGATGTATTAATTTTCAATATCATAATTGTTTAACAATTGTTTAATTATTGTTTACAATAAGTTTTTCGATTTTATTATAAAAATAAAAACGTTTCTAGATGAAGTCTATGTAATTTATTATAATGTATTAGACATTCTAATAATATAATATATTGTAATGTTATAATATTTATTTTATAACCAAATATTTATTTACACTGATAAAACATTTTTTTTTGCATCCAAGTAGGTTAATTCAACTGTTTGCGAAATTTTGTTTTTTCCCCAAAAGTAACATAAATTATCATCAAGGAAAAAGACAATAAATAATATTTTGATTATTTGTAAATGCAAATGAAAATTCAAATTACTGCATTTTTTTTTGTAATCTTAGTCAATTGATTATTTAAATCAAATATTTTTTTTAGTGAATAATGGAGAAAATTGAGTTTGCTATTATATGGATAGCTAATTTTTAGTTATGTTAGCTCATTATTAACTGTAGCAGCAAATACAATCAGAGAAAAGTTTTCTTTGAACTAAATATATCAGTTTATTGTATTAACACAATTTTTTGGTTAATTCAAACAACACACTAAAAAAGAAATCTTGATTTCAGCCTATTTTTGAGGCTGAATTTAAGGTGTAAACGGAATCAGACCAATTAAAAAAGGACAGACTTATGCAAAATATATGGGCTTAATTTAAGGTGTAAACGGTTTAAGACTTTGTTTTTACTGTGAAAATTTATTTGATTCAAAAAAATATAATTATATTTGATTGAATTAAATAAACATTTGATTGATGATTCAAACAAAAGTTCGGTTAACTGTATAGCAATGCATTGACTCCCCGAGTCGAAATTTTTCCCTCTTTTCACCCTCGATTTTCTCAGCCTCATTTCAGTCTGAAATCATTATTTCCAAATCTGCATGTTTAGAGGTTGAAAAGAGGTCTTGGAATTTTTTCTTAATTTGAATTTTTCCAAGTTTTATTCCACCTAAAAGTTTTATAGTATTACGACAAAGACAAAAATCCAGTTTTTACATTTTTTTAATTTTATTTTTTCGTTTTTTTTTTTTTTTTTGTTTTTTTAACCTCTTTTACGCCTCTCTAGTCATCTTTAAACCCTCCTTTCAGCCTCCAATATAGCAGTTTTAGTAATTTTTTACTAGTTAGTAAAATTTAACGCATTAATAGTTTTAGTAATTTTTTACTATCGCGTTAGTAAAATGTAACTAATTCTAAAGCAAAATGTGAGTCACTAATTCCAATTAGTTAAGAATTTTACGAAATTTTTAGAGAGTATTTTTTGTTTCTTTGTGTATTATAGCTGTGAAAACCAATTAGTATGTGTATCAGCTATTAAAAATTGTTGTCTCTATATTGTAGAATTTAGCTAAAGTAGCTAAATGTTAGTTAAGTTACTCTAAATTGGAATTAGTAAAAATTTTAAATGAATTAGTAACTCACTTTTTGCTTTTGAATTAGTTTTACTAATTCGATGGTCAAAAATTGTTTTCGCTATTAAGTTTTACTAATTCAAAAGAAAAAAGTGAGTCACTAATTCAAATTAGTTCAAATTTTGACTAATTCTTTAGAGAGTAGCTGACTTTTTTTCTCCGTGCACACAAAACAAATTTTGTTCGACTATAAATAAATTTATTTAATTTTGCTTAATCCAACTTGCCATTCTTAAGTGAACCTAATTAGGGATAAAATTTCGAGAATATATTTACTTGGAAGACCCTTAACTATTAAAGTTTTCAACAATTCATTTCTCTTTCTCTGTCTAAATAAGAGAGAGAGAGAGAGAGAGAGAAAGAGAGAATTAATAGGCGGTTTTGTAAACTGAGATTTGAGTGGACTTGTTTATTAGCAATCGTGAGAAATGTGGGTATTTAGTAGAACAAAGTCTGACAGCAAAATACCTACTTGTGAACGGTTCTTACAAGAGAAAAGGGGGTTAAACACATGTACGTAAACATGAAGGGGTTGCCCAAAGACAATGAGATGGAGTTGCTGAGTGCAATTTTGAATTGAGGTCACTGGTTTTCATCAGCGGGTAGACGTCGGATTGGTTTATATATGCGCGAATGCCTCAGTTAATCCATTGCTTTGTGCGTGTAACGGCTTCTCTCTTCAAATTCTCCTCAAAAGCTTTATATATGTATATATGTATCTACACAGCGATATAATCAATTAATCAGAGCCACTAATACTCTCACTAATCCCAAAATCTTTTCATCGCCTTAATTAATCAACAGTTCTAATCGTGTATTCTCTCTATTTTGTACGAAAATTTGCATTTTAAGACTTATTTATTTCGTGATTTAATTATAAAATAAAATTTACTAAATATTATTTATATACCCACAACTAGAAAAAAGATTTCATTAATACAAAGAAATCAATTTCTTTGATTTTTCTTTGATACAAAGAAAATTTATTTGTTTCAAACAAATTGTCTTTCATTCAAAAAAAAAAAAATTATCTTCGTTTCAAAGAAATTTTTTATTTAATTCTAATAAATTGTTTATTTGTCCCTATATCAATATCACATAAAAAACGCTGGTTAAAATTTATTGCAGTTAATTTTTATACCGATTTTGGGGTACTTTTTTTCGTGTGAATGTTAAAATTTATTTGCTTTAATGCACAAATTTCTTTGAAACTAAGAAGCTTTTTTTGTTGCAAAGAAAATTTTTAATGAAAAAAACAACTCAAAGAAATTGGTTTCTTTAAATCTAAGAAATCTTTTCTCTGAATGCATTATATTGATAAGAGTTTATTTTTTATGCATTTTGTGTACAATATATATATATATATATATATATTTTTTTTAAATATATTTTTACGTACAAGGACAGGAATTTTAAAAATTAAAAAAAAAATTGAAGATAATAAAATGAAAATAAACAATTATTTAGCAACAAAAGTACCTGAAAATTTCCAAAAAAGGAAAAAACATGGAAAAAAATATTTTATTTTTAAACAATACAATCGTTATTTAAATAATAAATTGATAAAAATAATCGTTAATTTTCTTTTCGATTGTATAAATTGAAAGAAATTTTTGTTTAACAGTAATTCCAGAATTGGTTTTTTTTTGAAGAAAATATCGAATAATAAAAAAGGTAAGCTCAATAATTTTAATTAAAAAAAAAAAAAAAGAATTCAAGAAAATTAAATTAAAGAAATAAAGAAAAAATAAATTTTTAAAAGTGAATAAAAAATTGTTTGACCAGATGAAATATTGCACTATTCTAATTTTGTGCGCTGGACTTTTTGTCGTTAATGGACAACAATGTGCAAACGAAGGTGGACAAGTAAGTATAACTTTAAATAAATGACAGTACTGTAAAATTTTTAAAAATATAACGAATTTTTTTAATTTTCTAATTTTAAGTGTCGCAACGATGGTGAATGCTGTCAGAATCTTCGATGCAATAGAGAAAAATGTGAAAAAATTGAAGTAGACTGTCAACGAGAGGGACAGCGTGTAATAAAATTTTTTTTTAAAATAATTTAATTAACAATTTTAATTAATAATTTTTTTTAAAAAAGTTTTATTTCTAAAAAAGAAATTTTTTCATTCTTTTAGTGTCAAGAAGATTGTAATTGCTGTCAAGATTTTCGATGCAATGATAGAGAGAAAATATGCGAGAGAAGAAGAGAGGAATGTCGAAAAGAGGGTCGAGAGGTAATAATTAATTATTATTAGCACTAAAGTTAATTAATTATCGGTCGAAAAATTTCTCTTCTTATTTCCAATCAATTTAATTTTTTTTTTTTTTTAATTCCCAAGTGTCGGAACGATGGTGAATGCTGTCGGAATCTTCGATGCAATAGAGATAGATGTGAAAAAAGAGAAGGTCCTCTAGAATGTCAACGTGAGGGACAACGAGTAATGACAATTTTTATAATTAATTAAATTTTTATTGAATTTTTTAAAATTAATTAATTCTTATAAACATAAAAAATTCGATTAAAATATCGATTTTCAATTTTTAGTGCCAAGGTGACTGTAATTGTTGTCAGAATCTTCGATGCCATGATAGAGATAAAGTATGCGAGAGAGTAAGAGATGATTGTCGAAAAGAGAATCAAAATGTAAATGCCAATTAGTAAAGAATTCAATTACCATTTTTTTTTTATTTTTTAAAATCTCGAATGAAAAAACTTTTTTTTTTTTTTGAATCAATAGTGTCGCAACGATGGAGAATGTTGTCAAAATCTCCGATGTACTCGAGAGAGATGTGTAAGAAAAGGAGGTAGCGATGATTGTCAACGTGAAAATGAAGATGTAAGTATTAAATAATTTTTATTTTTGTAATTTACATTAAAATACAAAAAAAAAAATTTTTATTATTATTTTACAGTGCAGAAATAGAGATTGTTGTAGAGATTTAAGGTGTCGTAATGATCGTTGTGTTAAAGATACTTGTCGTGAATTTGGACAGGAGGTAAGTGTTTTAAATGATTAGAATTATTTTACTAAATTAAAAATTATTTTCTAAAATATTTATTTCTTTTTCAGTGCGAAGAAAATAGACAATGTTGTATTTTCTTAACATGCGATCGTCGTCAAAGGCGTTGTACTTTTGGTTTCTAATACTTACGTAAAAAATATATTTGTAACTAATTTGCATATCAGAAAAAAAATTAAATAAATTACATTCTCTGGAAATATTCTAATATAAAGGAATTTTTATTTCTTTTTCTAATACTGCTTTTTCCCTTAAATCATAAATAAATTGAGATTATTAGTATATCGATAGTCAATAGTTATTCTTTTACTAAATAAAAACTCGATAATAAAACGATTACATAATATTATTAATTAAAAATTTAATTGGACAATTTGATTAAAATAATAAAATATTAAAAAGTATTAGTATTTACTTATTTAAACTTAAGTATCAGCAATGGTTGTAGTATTAGTAGTAAAAGTCGTTTTGAGTCAGACAAAAGCTTTCAAATTTTTAATAACTAATTCAATCCTGTTGTAATGATGTATGTACATTTAAAGTGAAAGTGAACAAAAACAATTTTAAAATTAAAAAAAAAAACAGAAAAGAAAACAAAGATAATAAAAAGAGAAAATAAATATATATTTAACAGTTAAAAAGTCCAATACGGAAAAAAATGTAAAAAAAACATTTCATTCTTAAACAGGGCAATCGTTGTTTAAACAATAATAAAAGTGATAAAAAATAATCGTCAATTGTTTTTTTTTGAATGAGTGCATATAAATTGTGTGAAAATTTTATTCAACAGAAAATTCAGTTGTGGTTTTTTAAAGAAGACAGTCGATCTGAATAATAGCAAAAAGGTATAAATATTATTAACAGATTTTAAATTTGTTGTGTGAATTAATTGAAAGATTAATAATTTAATTAATAATTCTCAATTAATAATTCTTATTACAAGTGAATAAAAAAAAATTTTTTTTTTTGTATTAGATGAAATTTTGCACTTTTATAATTTTATGTGCTGGATATTTCTTGTTAATCAATGGTCAATGTGCAAACGAAGGTGGACAGGTAAGTTATAAAATATTATTTATTACCAATATTTTTTTTTTAATATAGGTGATATTTTTTCTATGATACTTCTTATAGTGCCTAAAAAAATTGTATACTATTTTTTGGAACAATTTTTTAAAAGAAAGTACTATCAAATTTGATTAATTAATACATTTTATTTAATCAATTTCTAATTTCAAGTGTCGCGCCGATACAGACTGCTGTCAGAATCTTCGGTGCAATAGGGAAAAATGTGAAAGAAGAGATCCACCTGTAGAATGTTCACGAGAAGGACAACGTGTAATAATTATTTATTAATTAATTTTTTAATTTTTGATGTTACTTATTGAGAAATTGTTTTTAAAAAAAAACAAATTAATTGTTTATTTTTAGTGTCAGGAAGACCGTAATTGCTGTCAGGATCTTAGGTGTAATGATAGGGACAAAATATGCGAGAGACGACGAGACGAATGTCGAAGAGAAGGACAAGATGTAAGTACAAAATAATTAATCATTATTTGTGATAAAGTTATTTATTTCTGTTATTTATTAATTATTTATTAGTTACTTATATGAAAAATTATTTATTTCTATAATTTATTAAAATTTCTAATCACTTGAACTTTTTTTTTTTGAAATTCATAGTGTCGAAATGATACAGAATGCTGTCAAAATCTCCGGTGCAATAGAGATAAATGTGAAAGAAGAGATGTAGACTGTGCACGAGTGGGAGACCGTGTAAGAAAAAATTAATTAATTAATTAAAATTTCTTCCAATTATGAAAAATTGGTAAAAAAAAAATTTTTTTTTTTCAATTTTTAGTGTCAAGAAGATCGTAATTGTTGTCAGAATCTTCGATGCCATGATAGAGACAAAGTATGCGAGAGACGACGAGAAGATTGTCAACGAGAGGGTCAACGTGTAATAATCAATTTATATTAATTAACTTTTCATTACGAAATTCAAATTTTTAAAATATTCAATATAACTGGATTAAAATATTATTATAATAAAATTATGTTAAATTAATTTAAAACTATTTAATTTGCAGTGTAGTAATGATAGAGAATGCTGTCAGAATCTTCAATGCAGTAGAGAAAGATGTGAAAGAAGAAGCGGCGGAGATTGTCAACGTGAAAATGAAAGTGTAAGTAGTAAAAAAGATGAATTTTGTAAAAAATAATAATTTTTAGAACAGTACGTGTATATGCAAAAAAAAATTATTATTTTTATTTTGCAGTGTAGAGATAGAAATTGTTGTAGAGATTTAAGATGCAGTAATGATCGCTGCGTTGCTGATACTTGTCGTTTTTTCGGACAAGATGTAAGTATATTTTTCAAAAAATTTAATTATTATGCTAAATTGACAAAAGGGGATTAATTTTTTATGAAATAAAAAAAAATAATTGATAATAAAATTAATAATAAGCGTGAGAAAAAGATTGTTTAGATTTACTAATTAATAATAACAAAATATTTTTATTTCTTTTTTAAGTGTGAAGAAAACAGACAATGCTGTATTTTCTTAAGATGCGATCGTCGTCAAAGACGTTGTACTTTTGGTTTCTAATAGTTACGTAAAAAATATATTTGTAACTAATTTGCATATGAGAAAAAAAATTTAAATAAATTACATTTTTTGAAAATATTCTAATATAATGAAATTTTTATTTCTCATTCTTCACTATATACTGCTGTTCCCCTTAAATTTTTATAAATAAATTAAGATTATTAGTATATCGATAGTCAATAGTTATTCTTTTACTAAATAAAAACTCGTTAATAAAACAATTACATAATATTAATAATTAAAAATTAAATTAATTATATTAATTGTGATTCAAATTATAAAATATTGAAAATTATTAGTATTATTTAATTATTATTTAAATTTAAGTATCAGGAATAATTGTAAAAGTATAGTAAAAGTTGTTCTGAGTCAGACAAATGGTTTCAAATTTGTAATAATTATTTTAATCCTGTTTTAATTATGTATATTTACAGTTACAAGTGAACCAAAAAAAGTTTTAAATTAAAAAAAAAGAAATTTATCCAGAGGAAAAGTTGATGGTATTTTTGGCAAAAGTAATAATACTTTCCAACATGTTTACATAAGCATTACTTTTCAATTCGTAATAGTATAAGATAATTTGTTTTTTTTCAATAAGTATGTAAAATATTAAAAATAATAATTGAAAGCAATTATTGAATTTGTTAAATGTTTATCTGCTTTTAAAAATAATTTTTCCTCTTTTTTAATTACTTTACGAAATTCTATTTTCGATAGACGCTCATTTTAATCAAACAGCAATGGTAAAATATGTTGAATATGAATAAAAAATATTTTCATTTTGACAAAAAGCAACTCTCTGAAAATATTCATGAGATCTTGTAGAAAATTAAAATTTTATCATTGGGTAAATTTTAACAATGAAAAAAGTTTTATTTTCAGTTTTTAAAAATTTACGAGAATAAAAAAAAATTAAAGTTATAGTGAAAATTTATGGAATATGTATTTAATATATAATATTAATATTTTGAAATGTGAAAAGGGATTAATATGCGGTCTAAGGAGATTTGCAAACGATCAAATAGTATATAGTCGGCACATTCTATCTTGTATTGGTTTAATTAGAGAGAGGGTATAGTTGTCACTCTTGAGGCGTGGACCCGTGAGAAATGCGTTCGACTATATATCGTGTCACAGTGAAGTTATTCCGGCGGAAAATGTGACAGGAAACAGCCGAGACGAAACTGGTCTCGGTTAAAGGTATGCAAGTGCGGATAAAAACGGAAGAGATGAGAAGGAGAAAACCGTTGCGGAAAACAAGGAGAGAAATAACATGACACTGCGACCAAAGTTAAATCCTTCTGCGTTGCAAAGCCAAATCTCCAAACGATCATTATAACACAAACTTTTTGACAAACAGAAAATTATTTTAACATTAAAAGAAAAATAACGAAAAAAAATTAATTTCTTAAATTATTAAAATATAATAAAAGTTTTTATTTTTTGGAAGAGATTTTTATGTTTTTGAATAAAAATAATTTTTAATGAACAATTATAAGTAATTTCTTTCATCTTTTTTTTTGATATTGTGAGTCAGTTAAATGCGCGAGATATCGTCATTCATCGTAGCTATTCCTGGAGGATTTCTTCTCGTCTCAAAATCCAGACCCTCACAAGATCTACTTGCCTTTTTATCGCATCAACTAAAACCTCTTTTCCACTACGTCTAATAATAGTCACACCTCTTATTCACTTTAAATTGTACACTCAAACTGCTATGTATATCATTTTTATCTATATATAATTTTTATCTATGAAAAAAAAATTTATTTGATTAAAATAAAAATTATTTATTTCAACTAAATATTTATTTGATAATAATTAAGTTACCGATTATTTGAATCAAATAAATTTTTTTTCAGTGTACCTAATTTATATATATATATACATATATAAATAACTATTATAATTTATTTACTATTTTCATTCTCTTGAAAAATTCAATTTTCTGCTATATTCAATAGAAGGGGAAAAAATTATAATAAAACTGTAAACTAAAAAAAAAAAAATTGAATCGTAGCGAAAAGAACATTCACACCGCGGGCTATTTTTGAAATGAAAGTGGGTCACTCAGTGTAGTCACTTTATAAAAAACACATGTTGTTTTACAGGAAATGAATCTTGGATATACTTTCAAATGTTTCGATCTAGGAACTTTCTTTAAAAAATTGTAATAGAAATACATAGGAATTATTTTCTTTATTATAAAATCCAATTTTTATGGTTTAAATAAAAATTGGATTTTTTTTTCGTTTAGAAACGACTTTGAATTCTAGGGAGTAAAGTTACTTTTTTAACCCCTAGGTAGCTAAATGGCAATTTTTGCACTTCTATAGAAAAAAAAAATCATTTTAACTATATGAAAGGAAATAATTTCATTTTTTTTCTTTTTGTTTTTTTTTTGAAGAAAAGTATACAAAAATAAAAATCGCGAATGGTTACAGGAAGTAATTTAAAAGTAAATTAGCATTCTCTTGGCATGAGAAAAATTTTCAAGACACCTGGCGCAGCGCGCAATGATGTGAAATTTCTGTCGGGTTTAGCCATCCTCCTTTAAGGAAATGAAAAGTTTAATCAGAATAAATCAAGTCTAAGTAACTTCAAACAATGAGAATTCTCCGGAAGGCGGTTTTTGTAGAGCCTCAAATTTCACGGGAGATGATTTCAAGAACGGCGCGAGGTAATTTGGATGTCACTATATACTTTTTGATCTCTTATCGAACCACAAAGAACCGTTCATCTCATTTTCATCTTGACATTTTTTGAAAGCTTATAAAAGGAGGGACTATTTAAACTTTGACCATTTCAATTTTAACTTTCAACACACTTATATGAATATGTATACTATTCTCGTTGAGGAGAATTGCTCTTTAATTTTTATACTGTTGAAATTTTTCTTTAAGATTATAATAATTTTTTTTGAAAATATATTTTAACAGTTGTAAATATAGATAAGAGATATAAAATATTACAAAGTAGGTTGTAAATCGTCGATGTAATAAATTCTTGGAATAATTTTCTTAAATTGATAAAGATAAGATTAAGATTAAGATACAGTAGCCTCTTGATATTTAATGAGATAATTTATGAGGCTGCGGTGTGTGATTATTATATTAATCGATGGTACAATTTCTGGTTTAAAGATGTCATACGATATATTTTCTAAGAGACGACACTGCTTCCTTTTTTCTTTTTCTTTTGAAGAAGGTCCATTTAACGGCATTGCCAATAAATGATACAAAATGTATGCGCATACTTATATGCTTGCAAATATTTGCAAGAAGATTCACTCTCCCGAATGCCTCTTCTCCATTTTACAAAGTTTCCGACGCGAGGAAATCTGATAATCTGTATCGGGTGCTTTTATGTTATGCGTTAAATTATGAGACCACCGAGAAAAGTAAATGGGATATCGCTAAAGTAATAACGACAAACATTAGCTTGGGTCCTCGACCCCATTGCGCATTTTCTAAGTGCTCGTATAAATAAATTACTTTCGCCTTTTACGCAGCCGGTCAATTAGATGCGAGAAGAGAGAGAGAGAGAAAGAGGACGAAAATGAAGAAGGAAAGCAAGATCTGGCGAAAATGACTTCTCTAGGTTACCATTTTGGTCCTTACGACTATCTCTCGAGATTATGTCATTAATTAAACCTCCTTCTTTTTTTGATATTATCACACGAATATTGTTGAAAATTAATGTTACAATGACATTTTACCTTCGTTATTTATCCTGAGTTTCATAATTAATTCTCTTAAAATGTCTGCATTTTCTTATTAATAAATATTATCATTATCATTTATCTGGAAAATAAATTAATACTCTAAAACTATTTATTAAACCAAAACCAAAAATTGCTAATTTACACCGGGATTCGAACTCGGGATCCTCGACTTTACAAACCGATGCTCTAATCACTATGCTAAAGATATGTTACACAAAAAACGCTGGTCCCTATAAAAAATTGCCAGAGTTGACTAATGGCGCAGTACTGGTACCAATACCGCGCCAGTACTGCCAATACTGGCGCAGTACTGCGCCAGTAGTCAATTTTTGGTAGGGGTTAAATTTTATTACAGTTAATTTTTATATCAATTTTAGGGTAAAAATTCTATTTTTTCTTCGTGTGTTTTTATAATAATAATAGATTCATCATTCAGAATTTTTATTAAAAATAAAAATGTTGGAAAAAAATAAATATTTTTTTTTTCACCTTTATCATTCTTGTTAGAATTTTTTTAAAATTTCTTCCGTCGATTTTGCTTTTGATAAATATTTTAAGACCATAATTTCGTGAAACACGTTATTCGTTCCAAGTTGAAGGCTCCCAGGAATCCAGCGGCTTTAATAACGATTATAAAATCAGTTACTGTGATTTACTGAGATTAAAAGCAAACCCCCCTTTCTCGTCCCGCCTCACGTGCCATGAAGGCACACACATACACCTGCTTTCCCTTCGCTCTCCACCTTCTCTTCCTTGCTTCTTCTTTTTCATCTCCTTCTCTTTCTCAATTGCTCTCGCTCACCCTCTATTTTCTCTAGCCCAACACCTTTAAAAAAAAAAAATAAAAAAATAAAAAAAACCCTCCAAAAAAACCCCTTTTTAGTCTCACACTAAACTAACGAATGGTTTCCTAACATGCGTCCTGTCCAGGTTTTGCTTAATTTATATATTCACACTTGGGGACATCCTGAAAACTCGGTTTTACAAAAAGGTCTATTTTTTATTTACTCTCATTCTAATTAAGAACTGTTTTTTTTTTTGCTTCGCGAGTTTCTCTCTTAATTTTAATAAATTCAAAAGATAAATATATAATTTAATGTTGAATATGACCTACAATTTTTTTTTTAAATCTAACAGTTTACCTTACCACACGCGATTTAGTTTGGAAAAATTTACATAATTATCGTAATATCAACTTACACTCTTTTTTGGACATTAATATTTTAAACATACGTCGCGTTACGCATAATTATAATCAATGTTTTTTTTTTATTTTACTTCTTATCTCTTGTTTATTATTCTTTATTCCTTTAAAAAATGAATTATTTTTACAATAATTTTGTTTAAAAATTGT